AAAAAAACAGGAGGAAATGAAAGGAGAGGTGAGTGATAACAGAAAGTTGAAATTCAAGAAACAGTAAAGTAAAAACATAGTATACAGAAAAAAAGGAAATGAAATGAAGGGAAATAAAGGCACGGTTGGGAAAGATGCCAGATAAACATGCGAAATGGCTTTCACAGATGACCATCAGTGTCTCCGTCTCCTCAGGACACAGACGAATCGCTCAAACGGCTGGAAACTCCGCCTGGCCGTCTCTGCAGAGCCAGCTGTAATATTTGAGAGCAAGTTTCCCGCTCATACATCACTGCTTATCGTGTTTATTTACAGCCTGCCACTTAGCTCTCCACAATCCCAATATTTCACTCACTCCAGGGTTTAATAACACAAATATGTACACATGCAACATAATCCCATACAAATGTACACAGGCCAAAAAAAAAAAAAAAAAGCACAAACATATAAGTAAAAGATGCACACACACACTAAACGTGAACATACACGCACAGTGGCACTTATTATAAATCCAATATTGCTGTGACAAATGGCCTCCATCGCACAATAAACGAAACCGCTCTAACAAGCCTTGAGCCAACATTCCCCAGCAGACACGCGCACCGACAAGAGACACGCACGTTCGTATGCAAAATTGCAAACTCATGCATCCAATCAAAGAGGGACACACTCACAGTGGTGCACATGGGCATGATTGTTTGTTTTTATGCACATAAAAAGTCTGCGGTATATCATTTCCATTTAAAACAACACAGCTTTTCTCAGCTGGAGATTTGAATTGTAAATCTGCTGCAGCTTCCTGCTCCGCACTGTAACGTACAGCTGGGCGAAATTCAGCAGTCTTTACAGGGACAAGCCCGACACACGGGTCAGAATTAGGAAAAGGACCCACAAAATTTATGGCTTTCACTTTAACATGAACAATATTTTTCTGGGACCTTAGAGCCTTCATTATTAACATGTAAAATAGAACAGATTCTGGATTTGGCAGAGAGAACAGACCAAAAGGTTACACTGTAAACAGTAAATCATTGATTTTTAGAAAACTGGTACGTGGAAAAATAAAGGTGGTGTTGCAGGAGCGCTACCAAGTTAAAATGTTAATAAGACTCTACTTTCAGCTGCTCCCTGAACCAGCGACCTTCACAGACCTTGTCAAGCAAATGTGTAAACCGCTGCACTCTGGAGCCACACAGTTAGTTAAACTATTAATATGCTCCCTCTCAAGAAAAAGACAAAAGTAGTAGAGCAAGAAAACCAAAAACAAACACTAAATTAGGTATTAACCAAAGCCTGAATGCTTCAGTGTGATTTAATTTGTTTGCAATAATTAAATGAACTCATCTGATCAGGGTGCTTGTTACTCATTTACCTGCTATTAAGGGGTCGCCACAGTGGGTAATTAACATTTTGATTTCTTACACCGGACGCACTTCCTGACACAACCCCACAGAGATTTGTGTCTACTCTTGAATTGTGGCTGTTTAGCGTGTTAGGTAAATGTGTAAACCACTACATAATGGAACCCGTTTACCTGTAGGAGAGTCTCCCAGGAGGCCTTTCCCCAGCTGCACGAGGCCTGGAGGTCGCAGAGACAAGGCTTTCTGCATGAGCAGTCTGGACGGGTCCCCGAGCAGACTGGAGACCTAATAAAGGGGAAATGAAAGAGGAGAAGGAAGAGTATTACAAAAAAAAATGGAACAGAAAAGCAAAATCAAAGAACAATATCATAAAAAACAAAATTGGAAGAGCATGAGCGAGATGGTCATTATAAACCAAACAGAATCCACCATGGAGGGCTGTGCTAGCTATACAATGGTTTGTAAAGCAGATCCAGAGCATCCAATCCACAAAGGTTTTAGAATTACCAGGACCTGCTCACAGATTTCTCAGAATATGCAGTCTCATCTTCATAAAAGTCCAAGTGGCAATCTCCGGTACTGAAAATGAAGCCAGCGTTGAAGTTCCCAGAACTCTAGTTCCTCCAAGACCAACACCAAGAACGAGTCATTCCCCATAGAGTTCAAATGCCCAATTTCAGAGATTAAATTAAAATGTCCTCACAAAAAATAAATGAATAAAAATTAATAGTGATACTTGGATATTCCACAACAATTACAAAGCAATGAAACTAACTCTTGGGACATGGAACTTCACCTCTTTGGTTGGGGAAGAAGACAAAGCTAACACGTGAGGCTGAGAAATATCATCAGGCTCACCTCAATGTACAACATGGGCTCTCGAGCCTCCTGGACAAGGGCTAGACTTAATGTTCCAAACCGGAGTTGCCCTTGGCAAGAGGAGGTGTGGATAGACTTATCTCTTGCAGTCTGACAGAGCAAAGCGGATTTTACCCGTCAGTCAGTCTCCCTACAGGCACATATGGTCACAAACTGGGTAGTGACTGAAAGAACATATACAAGGGGTGCAAATGAGTTTCTGAAGGGTGGGTGGGCTCTCCCGTAGAGTTTGGCCATTCAAGTAGGAGTAGCAGAGCTGCTACTCCTCTATATCGAAAGGAGACCGTTTATTTTGCTCAGGCATATGACTTGGATGCCTCCTGGGTGAGATATTCTGGGTATATCCTACAGGGAAGAGGCCTTGGGGCAGACCAAAGACATACTAGAGAGATTACATCTCTGGGCTTGCTTGGAAACACCTCAGTGTCCCTTTGGGTGAACAATAGGAAATAGGACTGGGTTTGACTGCTTAGACTGGAACCTGGACCCAGATAAGCATGTAGAGGATGGATGGATGGACATGCCAATTGAAAGCTTAAAATGGTCCTCCTTGTTAAAGTTATGGGTTGATTAAGTTTTTAAAAATATGTAGAGATAGAATCCAGTATGAATTGCAATCATTCAGCTTAAAAAAGAAAAAAGATAAAGAAAGAAAAAAATCACATCAAATACTCCAAACATCAGTACCCATGACATTTAACTTTCACTTCAGCAACACAAAAAATATGCAAATGAAAACACAGACAGAAACTCATCACCTCAAGGTCTCACTTTAAACAGAAAAGAAGAAGCAATTAGGTTGCATGATTTCGATGTGGTTTCGTTTTCCCGTGCATTAAGTGCTGGAGATAAAAACATAAGGGCACATATGCACATGCCCCCAACTATGTTTAACCCTCAGCACTAGCATATGCAAATCATCACACACAGACACACAAACAGGTGTCTTACGCTGCTGATGCGTTTGTCTTTGATGTGTAGAAGCTGTTGCTGTGCCAGCTGCATGTGCAAAAGGTTCTGGAGGACTAGTCCATTTCCAAACATAGCATTCTGCAGGGTAAAAGAAAAGGACATCAGAATACGCGCACACACACACACACTAAACAATTCAGAGATTTAGATGTTAGTGTGACCTGGTGTGCTTTTCCCAGTGTGAGCAGGGCTGTAGTGAGGGGAGGTCTGAGGAACGGCAGGCTGGTGTGACGCCCGTATTTTCCTAAAAACATAGTCAAACAACAAAGAGAAACACCAGAGCCTCCATTAGTGATTTGCTTTTTTTAAAGTCTCCACCAAAGTACTAATCAATCATCATCTCAACAGGCACACACAGGCGAAATTACAAGTCAGACAACCGATCCATCAGTCATTTACAACACATTTCAAGCAATCACACAGCTGGCTGTTTTATAACAAGCACCAGTAAAGCAATACTGGGATATTATGCAAGCACAGAGCAAATTACCTCCCACATAACTTTAACTTTTTTCCCCTCAAAACTTAATTTCTATTTTGGTGTTGAAGACAGATTTTAAAAAGAGCTCTAAAAACAAAAAAATGTAAACTCCTTTATATACCAAAATATTCTAGGGTCAAATGTGAGGCCATCTGTCCAATAGATGAGCTTGGCCCAAACCGGCTGATGCAATAGGACAAGGAAGTGCAGCAGCAAATCTGCAGCAGAATGGCTGAAGAGTAAAAACAATCTAGTTGTTGTAACAGCCTGACAAAAGACAAACAATTAAGCAGATGAATTTGTGTTAAGCTCACCAATAGATATTTCATCTTGAGTACTTTTGCCCTTGTATATAGAGTATATAGGATTAATTAGTCATACTTCCTGATGATTTAATGTTTATCATCCACTGATATGGTCTCTTCCTGGCATTAGAGATTTACTTTTCAGGACTTGAGTGCAAATCACTTTTGCAATGCTCTTGGTCTTATTATTTTCTGATTTGCAATCTCCAATTAATTTGTTGTCCAGTACACTTCTCACAGTAAACACCTCCAAGGCCAGCTCTCGCTGTGAAAGTGACACCCCACTTGATAGGACATCCAGTGAGAAGTCTTATCACACAGAGTAATGCATTAACAAGTTTCCTTTTGCTCCCCTTGAGCAATACTTCCTGTAGTTTTCTATACCCTTTTTTAAGGGCAACTACGTGTTTGTAAGGAGAGACATTTGTGCTTTCTTTAATGCACCTTCTTTAAAAATACATCACAAAATCCAGTGCAATGCCAATTTCTACATTCAACAGACTTCCTGTTTGTGATTCATAAAAACAAAATCGATCACACTGATCTGCACCCATACCACAGATGCACAGCCTTTCGTCTGCTTCTTTTGTGCATGCGTGGTAACACAAGCCTTGGTCATAATAAATGTAAGCGTCAATGCTAATGGTAGCTTCCTCCAGAATAAGTAGAGAAAGTTTAACATTTAATCAAGATCCTAATTTTAGACTTTAATTGTGCATACTCTTCTTTAAGAGAGCTCCCCCACCTCTCTCATTTTCTCTCCTTCCTGTTCTCATTTCTTCCCCTAATGTCACACGATTTCATTTTAATACCTGATTAGCCATTCATCAAATAATGAAGCCACTGCCGAGGTGATTACAGTATATAGGAGGGCCTGGCAGAGGGAGACTCATTCAGCGGAGCTTTGATTGCCAGCCATGCCCTGTAGTCACGATCTAGTTTCTGCCCAGATCATTATCACCAATTTCATCATTTTATATTTGTCTAAATGTTCATGACTTGACTTGTTGTATAGTGCTTACATTTGTTATCCCACCTCCCAATGCAATGTTTATGCCACAGCTGCCCTTAATTAATAGCATTGCTAATTACCTTTTATGTTCCTATCATGGTTAATCTGCCAGTATGCACAATAGGCCTGTGACATCGTCCACAATAACACCAGTATAAATTATTGATGTGATATAAAAGTGCCATATGCCAACATCAAGATGAGCAGTTACAAGGTTCAGTTACTATAATTATTAAGTGTTAGCAGTTATTTTATACTTATACTTAAAATTTTCCGGGGAAAATACTGCCTAGGCTATTTTCATGCTTACATTTGAAAATGCTCATCAGCTAGTTACATTTATAAATGCTGCCAACTGCATGCTTTTTCTAAATTGATAGAAATATTGATACTGCATAGCATTCTTTAAATATTGTGACAAAATGATGAGCTTAAAAATCCCCCACCCATAATGCGGAAGCTCTTAATTAAAATTTTAATGCTAAAATACCATAATTTTTAAGTTTTATGGTTTTTCAAAAAAAGCTGAAAAAATAGTAAACCAACTGCAGAGGCTTCTGAGGCCTGAAGCTTTTCCATTCCTGCTTGATGCAGGTTAAAAACATTCTGGGCATTTCATAATGCCCAGAATGTTTTTTAGATGAATGACAGCTGTGGACTTCAAGCAGACCAGTTTATCACCTGGAATCTTTCCCTGTGGAGCCATGCAGGTTCAATGTGAGGAGGATACATCTGGCACCATCTTATAGCATTAAGCAAACGTGTATGCACCAAAAAGCTGTTCTAAAGCTGTACATATCATTTCAGCATTAATAAGGCTTTGACAGATGTACAAGCTACCCATGTCATGTGAACTAATGCACCTGTACACCTACAAAGAAGCAGTCTTTTTCAGATTTGATTGGTCAGATGAAAGTATAGTTTTCCCCTTCAACTCACCTCAGTCTTTTATAGTGGAGGATGATGTTCATTCGTTTTTTAATTGCATTATAGAGTTTTAACTTTCATTTTCAGATGCCACAGCCTGCGTTCAGTGTTCCTGAGCCAATGCTTGGATTTCCAATTCACTGTCAGATAATCCACTATCCAGATGTTAGGTGTTTTTTTGGTTTTTTTCCCAGATGTACAACTTTTTCAATGTTGCCACAATCTCAGCTAGCATGTAGCATGCTATGCTAGCATGGTATTTAAAGAGAAACCACTTAAAAAAATAAAACACCAGTTCTAACTCCTCATATGTTGCCTTTGTTTTTTAAATATATATATTTAAAAAATCGAGAAACTGAACTTTCATCATACAATGTTTAAAAATTATTTTGGAAAAAGAATTCACAGGTTTTAGGCTGTAAATTTTGTGACACCCCATCCTCAGGATTTTCCCGGCCACTCAACGTTTTTAAGGAAATCATCATCATGCCAACACACTTAACAGGAACATAGGAACAGCCAGAAATACTTTTTACATATTTCTGTACAATACTTTCGTTTCACAGATTTGAAATGTAGACTATCCAGCATACCTCCTCTTTTCCCAGTGTGGTACGGTCTCATGAGTATCTGCAGAGCAGCGGGGTTCGTCATACTGGTCAGCAGCTGGGCCAAGTTTGGTTCTGGTAGCAAACCTTTCCTGTTACTCAGAATCTGGAGACAAAACAAAAAACACAAAAAGCAAGTGAGTGCAACAACACGTGACTAGATGTGTGCATGTGTGTATCTGTGTATGTGTGGAGTACAGTATCTGTTTTGATCTTGTCATTAGGAGCCCCTGATGGCTTAAGTAATCATTACACTAGCTTACATCATCAGGATATGGCTGCAATGTCAGCAGAGGGGAGACAAAAGAAAAAAGGCAAGAAAAAATATAAAAGGACAAAGCTGAGAAACGACAGCAGCAGGAGGGAGAGAAAGGACGGGGGAGAAAAACAAGGACGAGAAAGAGTCTGAAGGAAAAAATGTTTTTTTAGAGACTTGGGAAGGCCACTTTTATTCACAAGTTTGTATCATATTTGAAAAACAGCTTTTTTCAGTCTGCTGCTGTGCTGGAACTTGGCTAAAGACGCACATTATGACACATTACATGACTGCTGCCTTTCCAGCATCAAATTCTGTGCTGACACAAGATGACAGCTTATAGTGAGATGGCCAATATTTATTTATTTTTATTAAGGTTTCAGAGGGCGTTACGGTTGTTTCAAAAGAAACGGACACAAAGAACAATCTTTCAGAAAATGCCTGTCACACATGTAGTTTAGCTCACGGTTTGGGAGCGTCTGCCTTGAACTTAAATACGTCACTTCAAAAGAATATCTGATCAAAGCGCAGCTTTTTAAAATGTAATCCTGCGTCTTGTGCATGGCTTTCACAAATATATACATAACAAATAAGTCTGACGCAAGAATATCATCCTGTTATTATTTTCATTGAAATTTGTAAAGATGATTAGTAAATCATAGTACCGACAGAAAGCAATAAAATAAGGGAGAGGGGGAAGTTTGATATGCACTCGCCTAGATTGCTCATAGAAAACTGGACCTGCCAGTCTAAAAAGAAAAAGAAGAGACTCCATCTTAGGCCTGTGTAGCCTTTGGTGTTTATCAGAGCAGAGTTGTAAAAGAGGTATAAGCACCGTTGGCTCACAGCAAGAAAGTCCTAGGTGGCCTGTGCCTGTTTTCTTCCAGGAGGTCTGGTTTCTTCTGCCCTCATGCCAAGTTAATTCTCCTGTCAGTGTGAACTTCCACCAAGGCTTACAGCTGGAGCTTGTCCTCCAGCCCTGCACACTGCTTAGAATGAGTAAAATGCAGAGAGCAAATTTCTCTACAATAACACACTGACCCCACCACTGACTGCTGTGGAATTCATTTGTTTAAAGTGCAGCAGCTCTGCTTTTCCTAATCTTCTGTCATATGTACAATGGTGGATGTTCAACTGAGGCACATGATTCCAGCTGTGAGCACAGAAGCCCCACCCACCAGCGGTTTAGGCCTTCTGTTTAGAAGGTGCAACCAATCAGGAAAAAACGTGATAAAGGGTGGGCTTAAAACAGCTTAGAGGAGCTGCACCAAAGACCCGTGTAAGATTTACGAGGGCTGTTTTGCATTACTCAGGTTTTGATCTTTAATATTTTTTTTCATATTTTATATATATATATATATTTGTATAAAACCTAACCCAAGTGCTTTTTAGAACATTATGTTTAATTAAAGCTGACCTTATCTCACACACAACACTTCTCAGAGTCGTTTTAAACTCTTGTTTTCTTTCCTATTACCAATAAAGCTTCTATTTAATTTGACATTAAGCTAAATTTCCTGGATCTGAACAGTTCTCTGCTGACTTGCATTTAATCAAAGGAGTTACTGTAAGGCACATTACCCCAAATAAGAATTCAATTACTCATTATGCTGAGGAAATTTCATTCAACAGACTCAAATGAAATCCTATTGAATTAGACTGCGTCAAATCGAATGGAGCTGCCCGTGCTCTGGTAGATCCTCCTCAGCTCTGACAGTGTGGCGGCAGTACGCGCTGGCCGCCCTACAGACACGGCTATTTAAAACAACATTAGCAAGGATGGTGATGTTTCCTCTTCGCCTGCCCCGAGCTACAGCCTGACTTGAGCACAAGTCAACGTTGTTTCCTCTCTGTCGCATCCCGGAGCCGAGAGCTTTACTGACGGGGATGGGCTGCGTTTGACTCCGTCCTGTCAGCAAGTAAGGAAGAGGAGAGTCTAGTGCACACGTACACTATGTGTATTCGAATGTTCCGGTGAGGAAAACTATTGTTTGTGTGTGCGCGCGCGTATGTGTGTTGAACAAGGCCAGTCATAGCTGACAGCGTCTTTCAAGGGAAGAGAAGGAGGAGGAGGAGGAGAGCTCTCTCATTTCTTTTCTTTCTGCTGGAGAAAATGTCAGCATGCATCAGTCTGTTTGGCTACTGGCACAAAATCCAGCCACACACCCACACACTATAACACACACACAGACATGCCAGGGAGGTAAGGAAGCCGCGAAGAAGGGAAAGCGAGAAGTATCGTGTAAGGGGAAAAAAAGGACGAAGGGAGAAGAAAGGAGGGAGGGAGGAGGCCATCTGGTCCTCAGCGTTCCCACTCACACTCGCATCACACTAACTGGAGAAATGAGAGAATCGCCTCAGACAACTGTAGACAGGAGCAGGTCTCGAGCTCTTTCTGAAGATCTGATGTTGCTTTTACCAGCTGCTCACATTCACTGCAATAATGCTGAAGGGGCCTCGGGGCACTAATGTAACCTCACAGTCCTCACAGGATCTCTTTCTGTCTTACCTCTTTTTTTCTTCCCCTTTTTCTGGTCTCCTCCTCAAATCCCCCCCCCACCTTTTTGTTTCTTTTACCAATTGCATGTCTTCCTTCCTCCTCAATCGCCCTTGTTAATTTATTCAAAAACACATTTTCCAGCCCATCCGTCACAGCTATAACCTCTTTACGTGCATCTGATAATTCACGCTCTGCAACAGCTGTGATGCCATCAGAGAAAGAGAGACTACAGCTTTTAGCTAAAGTGGAAATTTAGCACTTATAACAGCTCGATAAGGGCGATCCAAAGTATAGATGACACCTGCGGACAGCTTGTTGTTGCGCATCCAAGTTGGAAATAAATATTAATATCATTCAGAGACATAAAAAGATCAATAGATGAAATCTTGATGGAATCTTGAATTACACAAAATATATTCATGAAAACCTACGTGACATACTTCAAACTTCAAATACTGTAAAATGAAAAATCTTTAAGATGCTATTTCCCGACGAGCGCTATTTTACATCTCGTCCCATCATTCCTGTATTTTAAAACGTGATTACGGCTCCTCTGAGAACACTGATGAAAGCCCTGAAAACTCATCTCTCTTCATCAAAGTGACATATGTAGACGTTCAGCCTATGACAACGATCCCTCCAGGTCTTCAGCATGAGCCGCCATTAGTAGGTGCGAATCTGTGAAAATTGCTCCTCACCTCCAGCTCCAACGCATCCAACGCCCACCCGCAGCGAAGGCGGTAGCTGCTCACCTTCTATACAAATGTAGGTTTGATGTATTCTGATAACAATAATTATTCTCAAACCTGAGAAAAGAGAAAAGAGAGAACCACCTACAAGCTGACATACGAGGTAGTGATGTGTTTCATTTATCACTCTCTACTACACAGGAAACACATAAACAGATATAAAATATCATCAGTGTTCGTCTTAATGACATTATCAAGAATAATTATGTGTTGCTAATGCTGGATAATCCTTGCTCTTGATTGCAAGCTAGCAGGATACTAACCTGGCTGAGGTTTGTTACATACGAAACTCTCTGAATCAAGTGATTCTGACGCAGTCATTGCTGCACTGCATGTGAAAAACAGTCAGTCACGGTGGTGACTGCTTATTTCATTCACGATATGTCTACTAGCATGAAATAAACACCATCTGGACCGCTCTTTAAGTAGCCATTAACCGCTTCCCTTCTCTGTCCCTAGATTCCTTCCATACCCACGTACACACAAACCTGTCAGGACTCAGTAGCTGTAGTAAATCGAGGTACCCACAGGGATTAGCAGGGACTCCTCCTTTTGGGAACTCTCACTTCTCACTTACTCTCACTCGCTGTATTTACATGCCGTGTGCGGGTTCGCTGGGTGCATCTGTTTGAATGGGTGCACGTATGAGTGTCATAGTGTGTCACTAGCTTGTGGTTTGGTTTATTTCAGGCTGCGGGAGACAGCGGAGGAGCCCAATCAGTCTATAGAACTATAATTATCATGTCAGTGCCTCTCTGCTACCACAGCTCTGTGTAGGAGGGGTATCACAGCTACAAAGAACTTCTCGGCTAGAGGGTGTTCGTGCATGTGCTCCACGTCAAACCTCGGTGTTTCTCAGCAGCGGATGTGCAAGAACCACCCGGCACTGGCATCACAATTAGATGGAAAAGTAGCTGTGAGCATATCCGCTCTTTTTTTGTTGTTTTTCCATGAGAAGTCCAGTGTGTCAGTGTTGTAGCATGTGGTCCTCCACGTATGAGGGAATGCTACAAAAATGAGACTACTGTGACATAACGTTTTAAAATTTGAAAGTAATATTAGGATTTATGATAGGAAATAGCAAAGGGAATGTTTCAATTCATTTACAGTGACGGTGGGTTTGGAGGTTTAGGGGGTGTGGTAAGCTGATGATGGTCCAAATACAGCCAAGCAACATGGTAGGAATATGGAATCAGCTTTAACAGTAACTAAGATTTCTGCTACTGCCGGACTTGAGCTGCGGAGAGACGAGAGTCAAATCAGCGAATCGGATGATGAAATTCAAATGCATCGCACCTCAGCGGTCCACCTGTGTCAGCTAAGTGGCAGTTAGTTGCCATGGTGACAGCATGTTATGTAACTATAACCAAGTGTCAAAAAGTGATGCGAACTGAGTTTGGCACTTCTTTTTCAAAACAGCTTATAATTCCACCTGGTTTAAAATCCCAGAGAGCCCTGATAACTTGCTCTATGCAGTAGAAAGAAAAAAAAAAAAAGATTTTTCCTTTAATTTGGTGATAAAAACCATGCCCGTAGATTAATAATTGTGGGCTCAGCAGCAGGTTAGAGATGGAAAAAATGTCAGAGAAATTTTCCAGCTTCTGTAGGTTAATTTGTTCACTTTAGCTCTGCACACTTCAAATGGCGTGAAAAAACCAAAAGCTCGCATTTTGCAAATCAGCCGGTCGTTTTGTGTTTAAATTGTGTTTTTATGTGGGGGCTGGGTGAAAACCTTTGCACATTTTTATGTGGAAGATATAACTGTGACATACTGACATATCCACACTAATAAATTGTGATTCATCTCTCATCGATTCTTCAAGTCTGTAATAAATACAGTACGGCTGGGGTTTATTCTAAATAACACTTTGGGCGGGTATATTACATTAAAACTGGTGGCTAGTGAACTGTTAAGATTGCTACTATACCAATGCTGCCGCTAATATTAGCCTCTTCTTGCGTTAACAGAAGGCGACATTAAATGCCGTGTACTGCCGTCTGCGCTCTCTTCAGTACACTCTGTGATGCGTCTGTGATGCTGCTTTCTCCGTAATATACTCACCATACCCTGGGCAGCAATGAGTGCAGCCAAGGTGCTTCTCCCTGAGGTGCCAGGGGTACAGAGTGACAGACGGACCTCCTGTCCTCCCACCAGAGTTCGGTCCATCTCTATCAGCACAGCTTCTGCCTGCTCGGCGCTCTCATATTCCACCACGCCAAACCCTCGCACTGGACTGCCCTCATCCTGAGCAAGCTAGAAGAAACACACATAAAACGACAAAGCATTTATTCAGTAAGTCATTCTTTTAGATTTTTCTTCTGTGGCTGGGCACAGAAATGTGGGCTCTAATGTGAAAAATTATTTGAATTTCTTTTTTCCTCGTGTTTGATTCTTCATCTAAATTCCTAGTTGGCCGGGGAACCGGCAACGTCAAGACACTGGTATTGATCACATCCCACAAATTGTATAAACATGATGAATTGAGCTAATTTGTGCTTAAGGAGATCTGAAAAATCCCTATTGACACTTGTAAATGTGGAGCACTACAAAAACCAAAAGAAAAAAAGAAAAGAAAAAGAAAACAACTCGTATCTCGTGTTTTATTTTAGCTTCTTCTTTTTTCTTTTTTTACATGTCTTACTGGGGCAGAGTAGTCTTCTTATGCTCCCACTTATTACAAGGATTGCATTCATGCCATTATCAGATTTGTGCCTGATAATGGCATGCCTTTTGCAGATGCTCACCTGCTGGAGTGTCTGATTAAAAGCAGGCGCACTCCTGTCATCTGTTTGTTGTTCCTGTTAGTTCACAGGAATGCTCCAAATCTACTTAACAGGCTTTCACTAATATACAGTACACCTTTCCACTTCCAGGCATGCCACATTAGCTGTAAGATGTTAGAACTGTCTGCTCACTGGTGGGTTCAAAACATATGGAATAACCTGTCCTGGTTAAATGCACCCAGCAGGCTGGAGCGAGTTCCTTCAGGAGAAAGTGGGTCGAGTGATATAAGGGAGAAATGCCACCAGTAGCAAGAGCAATAGTCCAGCATAAAACCCAACATCAACTTCTGAAAACAACGTAAGTTCTGACACTACAAACTAACGTCATCAGCCCTTCAGACTTCAGCAATTATCTGTAGGAATAAAAAATTAATACGCCACCACTGCAGCATTATCGCCAAGAGCTGTTTAACCTGTTAGCAGTCGGACGTACCGCCCACGGTACATTGGATGGTTTAGGGGACTAATTGTAAATTTGTAGGACTGCTAAGGGGTTAATGAAGTAAATGTATTTTAAAGTGGATTTCTTTTTCAGTACGCAAAAGAAAATTTACTGACTTCTTATCAGCCAGTATCAGCTGCTTACTGCTTGATAGGTGTGCCCCCCTCCCCCTCACCAGAGACCTAAAAATACTTGCATTTACTATCTTTTAATAAATCGTCGGGGCAAACAAAGGAGGTCAGACACGTTTTTATATCTGCACGTTCTCGGCACCATCTAGGAATAGCAATATCATTCATCTAGAAGACTGATTGGCAAAACACAATCTTCTCCAGTGGCAGTTATCTGTGCAGCCCAAGCTACCGTCATGATGCACTTTGACTAAGAAAATGAGAAGCCAGCATGAGAGGCTGCAAAGACTGCAAAGTTATCCGAATCCTAATCCGCCCAATGTTTTCAGAGAGTTTTAGACTAACAAATGCACAAATTCATGCATGTATGGGTTTTTTTCTGTGCATGACTGACAGACAGGGAAGTGACAGATAACAGTGGAGTGGAGGTAGAAGTGCTTCTCTCAGCTTCTTTTGTCAAAAAGGATAGATAAAGAAATGACATGATGTAAAAGATACATCCTTTTGCTCTTCCTACACCGCTTCAGGGATGTGCACATAGACAGAGATACACACAAACACAACCTAACATAGTGTCTGTGGAAAAGACAGCTCCAAACTACAATAATCTCCTACTTAGGAGCCGGATCGAATAATGGGCCTTTTTCAGCATATAAACTTGACAGAGCCTTATTATCATACATTTATGGTCAGCAGTCAATAAAGACATGTCTCAGCGTTAGAGTGTCCTGCTGATAAAGACTGACTTCTCTGTCAAGAAGGCTGAGTCATTTCCATCTTCTGAGCTCAAGCTAAATAATGCAGGCAGGCTAATAGCTTATAGCTAATGGACTTTATCGGATAATGACTATGTCCACAAAGTAATGGCTTGTGGTTAAAACATACCACTTAACGTATTGTTAGCACTGGTTCGATTCATATGAAATACAGCAGGAATAAAAAGGACAGGAACTCAATTTAACTTCTCTCACATTTTAAAGGATGTGTGATCTGTTAGAGACCATTTGAAGGTTTGGTTTGTTAATACTTGCATCATCGCTGCTAAAGGTGCACAATTAGACACCAAAAAGGCAGTTTTCAAATAAATTCATCTTCATTCCAGACACGCACAAACAAAGAGAATTTCGTGGCACTGTTGGAAGTTAAATGCAGCGTTACTTGTAGTGTCTACAGAATATAAACAGCTGTGTTAAAAAAAAAATCTGCATATTCATAGACTCTGGATATTTCAGCCAAAGAGAAAAGCATATATAATTTCAGGAAGCTGCAACTATATAAATGAACACTTTTATGAGAAACCCTTATCTGATTTCTTATATTAATTTCCATACGGCGAAAGGAAGGTGCACTTTTGCATTCATTCGGTACATATTGTGTGGTTTGCTCCCGCTGAAATGCAGCATTTGTGATAGACTCTGGCCACATCTCCCCACTACTTTAAGCTGCAACCAAGTGATCAGCCAAAACATTACTGACCTTTTTACTCTGAAAAGTAAAGAAGGGGAAAATTGTGCAAAACAAAGCTGAAGAGCTATATTTGTGGTTCTCTTTGCACACAAGGTCGCATAAGAGCGTGTGAGTCATGGAGGCTTTTATATCAATCAACACAGTCTGTATCGCACAGGCCAAATGTATTTTGAAAGGTGCAGACGCTGTGAAATACCAATCATGCAGCAAGCAAAACAGCAGACCAATGTGACTACTGGTCCTTAGCCATAGCGTGAGATTTGTCGTGTTAATTGTGGATTAACGTTATTTTGACCAAGTACTTTTATAGTACATCAGCGCAATGTTGTTAATGAGTGAAGTCAGCTTTGGTTTCTTTTGAGAAAGTAGTATAACTGTGAGGTTGGAGTAATTTCTATGGAAGGATGTAATCTGTGGGCATCTTTCTCACCCTCAACCGGTTGCAGCAGATGGCTGCTCCTCCCTGATCCTGGTTCTACCAGGTTTCTTCCTGTTAAAAAAAAGGGAGTTTCTTCTTCTCATTGTCACCAAGTGCTTTTGGGGGTTTTCTCTCTATCCAGCTTTGTCACATCAGCATCAGTCTTCTTGGAATTTTTATTTTTTGAATCTCTACTGGAAGCAGTTCTAGATGTGACACCATCACAACACTGGTGGAAAAGCCCTGGCTACTCTCTTATAATGTTGCAATAAACTCTGATCTTGAGGGTATGAAAGTCAATAAATCCAAAGTCCAAGTGACAAATTTCTAATGTGAGAGCAATGAAAAAGTCCTTCAGGGTTAAACAAAGCAGAACGGGACAGAACAACAGAGACATTAATACGAATAATGATCAACAATCAGGCAGCAACAGCAGCGTGGAGCAGCAGGTGGTTTTAATGGTACATGTTTGAAGGTAATTCTTTCCATGAATTTGCTGCCTGAAATAATGCAATATTAAATACAAGCAGAGCTGGAAAAAAACAAGGAAGAAGGATGATCAACAGAAAATTAGCACCTATAATTTCAACTCATTTGGATGCTCATTGATTCAATTATTCTCAACCAAATGTACCAGACATTTACTGCTTTGTACATTTGGACTCGTAGGTTTTCAGCTTGAAATTCTTAGAAACTGGATGTCTGTTTATTTTTTTGTTTTTTTGTTGTTTTTTTGTTGTTTTTTTTTGGGGGGGGGGTAGTATTTCCTGACATTTTAAGGTAAACCATTGTTTGAATACATTATTCAGCCTATTTCACCTTCCAGGGCTAATAAAAGGAAAGCAGTTCAGAAAGTTGAGTTAAACATTAGGAAAGCATCTTCAGCAATAAATTAAAAATAAAATACAATCAATTCAACTAAATGCAGCTTTTGCTAATGTTTTACCACTGTTCGCCAAGAGGTGAAGATATCTGAGTTTTCTCAAGTCGCAGTTTTGACCTCTAAGGGCCAGCATATGAATCGAAGTACATGACTAAGGTCTACACAGAAAAACCCCCCAATATGAATAAGTCTTCTGATGCCTCCACATACAGCATAAAATCAGGGAGGGTATAAGAATTCATACACAAAGGCTTTCACATGAAATGTGAGCAAATCAGAAACTTGATTATTTATTTTCAACTGCTGCAAACAGCTAAGGCATCAGCTAAACTCAGAAGAGTTTCAAACTCTGCGTTTACATTGCACATATGTACATACAGTACTGTGCAAACGTTTTAGGCAGGTGTAAAAGAAAAAATGCTGTTTACAAAGAATGCTTTCAGAAATATAAATGGTTGTTTATTGGCCCCAAACGTATTCTGCAGCATGACAACGACCAAAACATACAGCCAAAGTCATCAGAAGTACTGGAAGTGATGTTATGGCCCCATAGAGCACTGATCTCAACATCATCGAGTGTGTCTGGGATTACATGAAGAGACAGAAGGATTTGAGGAAGCGTACATCCGCAGAAGATCTGTGGTTAGTTCTCCAAGATGTTTGGAACAACCTACCAGCCAAGTTCCTTTGTTGTTGTCGTGTACCCAGAAGAAGAACTGATGCCGTTTTGAAGGCAAAGGTTGGTCACACCAAATATTGAATGATTTAGATTCATTCACTGCATGTTGTTGAAATAATTAACACTTCCATATGTGAGTAGTTTATGAAATGATTCAATTTTTTCTTTCCTTTCTCTTTGTTGTAAAAATAAAGGAATTTTGAATCAGTGGAAAGCAAACGCATTTGTACTTTTTCAGCACGAACACTGACGCCTGTTAGCTTCAACACTCAATCAAGTGGCCCCTCCACTTCCTCCCACCTCTCATTCGTCTGCTGTTCCCTCCAGCCTGAACAGGGGGATGGAGAGATGGATGGTTGAATGAATGCAGGGAACACAAGAGGAATATGCACGTATGTGTGGAGGAGTAGGTCGATAGGCTATTATCATCAGCATATATTAAGCAAACTG